CGACGCGCAAGGGGTCGGGCAAGTGCGCGGCGACGCGCTCGTATTTTTGAAGGGCTGCCGGCGCGGAGCCGCAACGTCACAGAACGGGCGCTTCAGTGCATCTGGGGCGGGCTCGGCGACTGGATGGTTCCACCCCGCTCGGTCAACCATGCGCTCGCGGGCGCCCGCGATCGCCTGCCACGCGCGCCACCTAGCCAGCGCGCGCGTCTTGAACGAACTACGGCACCACGGGCGTTCCTTCGCGATGACGGCGAGCGAGGCGGGCGAGCGGCGTGGATTCATCATGTGCGATACGGGTGCAGCATGCGTAGGACTAGTAAACGCGCATGGTCCTATAGGCGCACGCAGCGTGCATCGCCGCGGCTTGTCCTTCAACACATCTGAGTCCGCAGAGGGGGTCGAGCGGGCCGATGTCGGCCATCAGGCCGCAAAGTCCAAGAGGGAGCGGCATTTGCGCGCTATGTCCTGCACTCCGAAGAACGTCGACATCGAGCTGCGCGAATTCTACCGCCGAGGGGCCTCTGAATACGTCTAGGATAGATTCCAGCTGCCCCCACCCACGCCCCGCCTCCTCGGCGGCCGCGAACGCCTCAAAGTCCCCCTGAATTTGCCTAGCCCGTGGAGTAGACGAGGCCCCCGCCCGCCCGCCCTCCAGATGATCGATGCCCAGGGAGAGGTCCAGGGAGCTGTTGCCGCGCACCGCCGCATGGAACTGGGCCCCGTTGACTGGAGATTGTGCGACTGACTGGTGCAATCTCAGGCGTCGGGCTCTAAGCTCTTGAGAACATGAGATCTGCCTTCTCGAGAGGACCTCTAGAGTGCTCAGGGTCTGCTGGTGCTCGGGGCCCTCGCGCGCGACCCCGCCCCCACTCGCGCTTCTCCACAAACTTTGCCAGGGCGCGGCCCAGGGCGTCGCAGCGCCTGGGTTCCAAGACAAAGGCCTCGAGGGCCGACGAACAAGCATTCTGGGCGCATGCAAGAAACAGACAGCGCCTCACACGACATGAGATCTTTTCTGCGCCAAACCTTGCCCAGCCTGCGCCATCCTCTACGCGCGGCTCGCACTCGGAGCTCCGCATCGGCACTGACCGAGCCGCCCGCGCTCGGAGAGGGGCCCAACAGGCGCATCATCTGGGTCGGACGGGCAAGTGAAATACTCGGGGCCGACAAGGCCCGCTGCTCTGCGGCGGCCCCTTCACCCCGCAACTGCACCAAGGTGTTCTCCTTCGCTGAATTCAGCGAGTGCCCGCTCTGCCGAATGCGCCGTGCAAGCTGTCCGCCCCGCAGTGCCACTCGAGCTTCCGCGCGGTGGGCCGGCGGCTTCCATGGGCGAGCGTGCACTTTGGCAGCGTCGCCCACGGATGTCGCCACTGAAATGTTACGTGCTCTTCCAGTCACTGGGCGCTCCGTCACATGCCGTCGTTCCTCTGGCGACTCGGTCCTGATGTGCTCTAGCCACTCGGCCACGCCTGGGTTGTAGCACGCAATGAAGCCACGTGGCCCGAGCGCATGCCCCACGCAGCTGCTTGCCCGTGGCTGGAAAGAAAACTCCTCGCCCACATTTGTGCGCAGCGTCGTCTGATCAATAGTCCTTCTGCGCCGCCGTAGGTCTGACTCAACGCCGCGTCGGCAGCCTCGAGCGCGCAGGCGTGATGTCGTAGTGCGCCCAGAAGCGTCGCACCATCATATGTTGGCGCAGCTGTCGAGATGCCGCTCTCGTTATCCCGCCATCGCAAACATTCCAGGGTCGCAGCGGCTGCTTCTCGGCGCCGTTGTGGGGGCCCGCTTTGGGCCCGCTCAGGTATGTCACTCGAGCTCTCCGTGCGCCTCTTCATCGCACCTGCGCATGTGCCCATCGACGTCGAATCGAACGCGCGCAATATCCTCTGCCCCGCGATACCATCCTCGCCGTCGGCCTTGCCCGCCGCGCACGCGCTGGGCCGCGGGGGGCCGGGGGGGGGGGCGCGTCTCTCAGCCTCGTGCGCATGATAAAACCCTGAAGCGCCTGCTTAAACTCCCCGGGGGTCCGCGGCTCGACGCCCGCCCCCAAGCCGCCACCAGCAGGCTCGCCGCGCCGTAGCGGGTGGGGGCGCATTGCCGAGAGCTCCGCGGGAAGGCCCATGGTGGTGGGGGGGGGGGGGGGCTGCTCTGCGCCTTGGTACCTTCGATGCATATCTGCCCAGCTGCTCGCGGTCGCGAAAAGCACGCCTGCGAGACTTCTCGCGCGGTGCCGCGCGCTCCAGGTTGATCTCTCGTCGTCGCTCGCGTGCGCGCTCGGACCAACTGTGCATCTGCTCGCGCCCCAATCCTCGTTCCGTCGGGGCCGCTGCAATCCCGTTCTCCAGTCGCCCTCATGCTCGGCGGCCCGCGCACTGAAGTAGCTGCGCTCCTTGGGCCCGTGGCCGCTTCCCGACGGGGGCACTCTCAGTCGATGTGCGTCAGCGAAGTCTCGCTGTTGCCACGCATCGCATAATACCTCGCTGACTTCTCTGTCTTGCGCAGCATGATGCGCCTCTCGTGGCTTCTTCATCTCAGTGCTAATCAGTAGTGCAAGCCGGTCCTGGATACTGCCCAGCCTTTCGCAAGGTTCTTCTGGGTCCAGCTCGCGTTTCAGTGCGAGGCTTTCTTCCAGTAGCTCCCCCCGTTTGTCTCGCAGCTGAAAGCAGTAGTGATCGCGTCTGTCTTGCTTCGGGAACACGTCTTCGAGTGCGCTCCGCGTGTCCTTCTGAAAACACCCCCGTTTCCCATCGACGCCCTACCGCGCATACCTCCCATTCAGCTCGTTCATTACACCAGTTATGGTACTCCCCACTTTCTCCAACAACTCCTTTCGCATCTCACCTCGTTTCCAACATATCATGGGCTTGCATTCGTATATGTTATTGCCTTGCTGGCGGCGCGGATCAGTTAGCGCTCGATCTCAAACAGTATACTTATTGATATGTGATCCCGCACGTATTCGCCCCCACGAACTTGCACTCCGCGCGCGAGACGAACATCGATAAAACACCTGCGTGCAATAGACATTGCTCCCGTCGGAAGAATCCAGTGATATATCTTGCTCCGGCCGTAGAACCCTACGAAGGTGCTCTCTGTGGGGTAGAACGACGTGCCGACCGACAAGTGCTGTCTCTCGCAGAACCTCCGAACCTTCTGTGCCGTGTCGCACTCGATGCCTGGAAAAACCATTCCTACTTCTTTTGTCTCTTGTGTATCAGCTGGCCTCCGGTAGTCCTCTGAATCCCGAGCTGGTGCTCATATCCCCGACTACGAGCGGCATGGTACGAGTTTCCAGACGCCTCAGAACACCCCCTAAGCACTTCGGAATTCACTATACCGTGCTGTTAAGCTGTGTCAGGGTGCCCCAGGACCTTGGGGGAAAAAAGGTGCCCACGAACAAGTCGTCTTGCCCCACTTGTCGTACGCTAAGTGTTCCTGCTCTTCCATGTACATGGCTGCTGAATGGGGATTCGTAGAAATTTGTGATGTGTCATGCTCTTCATCGTCGCCCCAATAGAACATATATTCCGCAACTCCTGTTCGACTGTGCGCCGTTCGCCCACCCAAACCTGACTTCACTGAAGTCCCGATGTCGAAAAATAGGCCCCTGGCCCACTCGATGGCATTGGGTCCCCACCAGCACCGCCACGTCGTAAAATCTAAACGCTTTCGGTAAGAAGGATGCACGGTCGTCTCGCCAACTTTGAACATTGAAGCCCACTGCTTTCAGCAGTCGACAGGCCATCGCGAGAGCGGGCCCCGAAGAAGGTTTACAACGATTCCAAGGCACCTCAATCATATTCCACCGCGATCACTTGGGACTCACATGCAAACCAACTGCCCGAGAAACAACATCCCACTCCTTGCCGAGGCTCGTACACGGCAAGCTCGCGCCGCCATGACGTCTCGGCGATGGTTTCTGACGCTCCGCGAATCGTCCAGCGTTGAGCGGTCGCGGTGCTCCAGTATGGAGGACGGCGAGAAGGTCTGGTTCAAAAAAAGGTGATTTCTACGGCTGCTGGGGCGCGTCAAGTCGTGCTGGAGTGCGCAAGGTCGGGCTGGAGGGACCTCGAGTCCAGCGAAACCAACCTTGTCCAACGAACCCTTCTGGCAACCTCCGACAGCAGTGCAGATCATTGGATGTCGGAAAATTCTGGGCCACCGCAAACGTGCACCCATGAACACCCGCGCTAAGGTAACCGGTGGGCATAAGCTTACCTGCCGTACCCTCGCCATCTCCCTCTCCCACTGCCTCTCATCCTCTCGTTTTGTGTTGTTTCTCTCTCTCTCTCTCTGTCTCTCTCTCTACCCCACTGAGAAAAGAATCGCACACAAACGCAGTCTTTCGTACATCCGCGCCGGATCCGCGATGGGCGATGTCTCCCCCTGCCTGGCGCGCTCCGCCGCTGGAGACGCCGCCACGGGGAGCCCAGTGCAGATCCAAGTCGGGGCGGAGATCCGAAAATTCAACTACTCTGGGTTTCTCAATAAGCGCGGGGGGGGACCCCCCCCGACGAGGGGTCAACCTCGCCTCGTCGTCGCGCCGCGACGGGGGTCTGTGCGCCGTCGGCGCGCGGTGGCTGCCCGCGATGGGGGTCGATGTGGGGATGTCGGCGAGGGTGACGCCCCCCCCGAGCTTTCTGATTCGACTCCCTCTGCGCACTGCTGACACCTCCGCACGTACCACCGCGGGGGCGACGCGATACGTCGCAACAGGGCAGGGGGCGTATCGCCCGCCCCGCTCAGGCCTCCGCATGTCCCCACCGCTCCGACGGCGCCAGGGGAGAAACTAACTCTCTCTCTCTCTCTCTCTCTCTTTGTTTCTCTCTCTCTCTCTCTCCCGCTCCCGCTCGGGCTCCCGCTCCCTCTCCCTCCTTCTCTCTCTCTCTCTCTCTCCCTCTCCCTCCCTCTCTCTCTCTCTCTCGCCCTCTCTCTCCCTCCTCTCTCTCTCTCTCTTTCTCACTGCCTCCTTGGTCCTTCCCCTGCTCCCCAAGCTCGGCCTGAAGAGGTGCGGGTGCAGCGGCATCTGGGGCAAGCTGAGGTTCGAGGGGTCCCCGTAGCCAGGCATGACCTCTGCCGTTTCGGGGGGGGGGGGGGGGCCTTCGGAGCGGCGGTGCAAACGGACCTAGGCTTAAGCCGGGCCTGTCCCTCTACAGGAGGAATGTTCAAAAATAGTAAAACAATAGTCTGGGGACCATGTTTGAGAATTTGTTTTGCATAGTTTGCATAGTTTTGAACATTGATCTTCCAACATCCGCCTGTAGGGGGACATGCCCGACCTACACCTAGGCCAGAAGAACATCCCTCAAGAACATGAGACCCTCCGCCAGCCCACACACACAGAACATCCAAGGGCACGCTCCCGAGGACGCATAATAACGTCCACTAAGCACGACAAAATTAGGGTACCCTCCCCAAACGACCTCGATCTGATACCTCGGTCCGATTGTGCCTGTGAGACTTATCGCACCAGAAGATCTTCTTCACAGACGACGACAATCGGCACCGATGGTCATGCATCGGCGCTGGATCCCCCGCCCCGGCGGGGCGGCGCCCGAGGCGCAGCCAGGGGGCTCGACGCCGACACAAGAAATCCGCGCAGACGTCCGACGATTCATATTCATGTATTTGTTCTTCGACTCTGGAATACCGATTTAAACTAGTCAAACATCTTCTTTTCTGGACCTCTCATTCGCTGGGCTCCCAATGTGCGAATGCACTCTGCCCTTGGCCGTCGCGGAAGCGGCCGGGACACCGTGGACTTCCGGCGGCTGTACCCCGCCTGCCGTCGTGGGAGCCGCCGGAAGGGACTGGCTGCCTGGTGGACGCCGCAGCACCGTCGCTGGCGGCGCAATCTGGCGGGCCGCCTGCTGCCTGGCCTCGCGGGGGCGCGTTCCCAAGATAGTTGAGCATGGACCGAACGTCCCGGCATTCTGTTAGTCCTACCACAGAATTTTCCTAGAACCCAAAAATGTTCTACGAACACAAACCATGTTCTTAAAACATAAGCCCGATGCGTTGAAACAAGACAGTCTCGGCCAGAAAGGTTCTAAGAACATGTCGTGCAAACCATTAAAGGCTCTTAGCACCTTCTCTGGTGGCCCATAGGCGAGCCAGAACGCTTCGCCACTGCCTGAGATGGGCCCCGTCCAGGCGCCAGGGTTGGCTCGGGCATGTCCTCATACAGGCGGATTTTGGACGAACTATCAAACATACCCAGAAATCTACTCCCAAATAGCCAACGAATACTTACAAATTGTCCCCAGACTATTTTTCACTATTTTTGAATCATCCTCCTGTGAAGGGACAGGCCCGATGGAACGCCAGGGCCAGGCAACGCCGCCGCCGCCAGGGAGGCTGGAAAAAGCGGGCGAGGCTGCGCCTCGGCGTCGGCGCCCGGACGGACCAGAGCTCCCACGCAGCCTTGACCCGGGGCTCCGTGCTAAGGTTACAAGCCAGGGTCTTCGACGGGAAGCCAGCGCCCACGCCGTGGACGCCATCCTCCTCGCCATCACCGTGACCATCCTCGCCACCGGCTCATCGGCTTAGGCGGCGCCACGCCGCGGCGGTGGCGTGAATTCATGTCGCGCAGCACTAGACGAAGAAAAAACGGCAGAGGCGCCGCCGGGGGGGCCCAGATCCAGGCGGAACGCCAAAAGTTTATGTTTGTGGCGTTTTTCTTCTTCGAGATGGGCAGCTCATCGAGGACGGTGGGCTGCCCCAGCACCGAGACCGTGGCGCGTCTGGCGCAGTGCGCGCTTCGGAGCTGAAGGCCCACCGCCCCAGCGGCTCCGCCTGTGACGCGCCCCAGGCCATCGGATCGAATCTGATCCTGTCGGACGCGCACGACGGGAAAGTGTACTGATGGGCCTGTTTTCCACCACCACCACCATACGTTGGAGGGGGGAAGGAGGTGGAGGATGAGGAGGAGGAAGAGGAGGATCCCCTCCCACACCTACTTCTGGTGGTGGCGGTGCCAAAACAAGCCCACCATCAACCTGTCGGGCGCCGCGCCCCCGCAGTAGCCCAACGGCAGGGCGGAGGGCCTCTCAGGCTCGCGGCCGGGTCCCTCAGCGATGGGGGGCAGCGCCCCGAGCTGAGCAGGGGGCCCTGGCTCCCCGGGGCCGCAGGGCGTCTGGAGGCCCGGGTGCATGTTCGTGCTGGCGACGCGGCACCAAGTGCGAGGGTCGGCGCCGCGGCGATCACGTCAGCTGGGCGGACGCGCGGAGGGGAAGACGGCGCTGCTGGGACTGGTGGAGCGGGAAGGGCACGAGCCCGATTCAACAGATGGCACGCGCGTCCTGGCTCTTACACGATGGCACGGCGAAGTGCATGAAGAACGGCTGGTCTGACGGATGAGGGGCTCCGGCAAGCACACAGCGACGACTGGGCGGGAAGGCCTGCCATAGGAGGAAAAAGAGGCATGAACCTATTTTTTTGACGGTCCGCGCGGATTTTCTGGATCCGCGCTGGACCCCCTTTTCTGGCGCGCTCCGCGCGCCACGGGCGGCGCCGGAGGTGCCGCCGGGGGGGCCCAGCAAAGATCCAAGAAATCCGGCCGGAACGCCATAACTCAACGTTTATGGTCTTTTTTTCCTCCGATGCCGTGGAGGCCATGGGAGGGGCCAGAGGGGGAGGGGGGCGGACAAGGAACCGCGACGCATGGGAAGAAAGCTTTCCGCGAAGGACAAGGCGCCTGCCAGGGGGAGGGCCCGCCAGGCACGCCAGGGGAGGGGCCAGCGGATGCGGGTGGACGGCGAGCCACGAGACACGAGCACGAAAGACTCCGATCTCTAGGGTTAGGTCGGGCGTGTCCCCCGACAGGTGGATTTTTGACAACTTGAAGACATTCAAAAAAATCAAAAGCTGACAAAAATGATGGGGGGAAAAAACGTTCCCCACATCCGAAATGGGTTTCTTGTTTTCTCTGGACACCCTCCGCGCAGGAACCTCCCTCCCACTTTCCGCCTCATTCGCGCATCACTCCGTCACCAATCATCATCACCATCGGTCATCGTCATCACCACCACCACCATCATCATACTAAGTCACGCACCATCGATCACCATCACCATCGGCCATCGATCATCATCATCATCATCATCATCCGCATCACCACCACCGCCGTCATCATCATACTCAGTCGCACATTACACGCTTTCTCTGTCTCTTTCTCTCTCTCTCTCGATATATATATCTTGTTGCTTCTCTCCTTTCTTTCCCTCTCAGTCTCTCTTTCTGCCATCACTCAACATCATCAAACGGGAGCATCGTTTGTGAGTGAATTGCGAGGAAGTCTACGGCGGGAACCCCCTCCCTGTGGGGCCCGCGCTTCATATTGGTAATCCAAGCGGGTCATCCTCGAACCTGTAACTGTCGTCAATTTGGGCCAGTGAAGCCTGAATATGGGGGAAGTATCACCCGGGAACCTCTTTTGTGAGTGAACTGTGAGGAAGTCGCAGGCGGGAGCCCCTTCCCTATGGGACTCGCACTTCGCGTGGGTGATCCGAGCGGGTCGTCCTCGAACCTGTAAGTGTCGTCGATGTTGGGCTCCTGAAGCCCGAATACGGGGGAAGTATCAAGCGGGAGCCTTGTGTGTTAGTGAAGTGTGAGGAGGTCTCAGGCGGGAGCGCCCTCCATATGGGGCCCGCACTTCATCTTGGCAATCCGAGCGGGTCATCCTCGAACCTGTAACTGTCGTCATTTCCTAATGTTTGAAGCTTCAATATGGGGGGCGTATCAGGCGAGAGCCTCGTCTGTGACTGAACTGTGAGGAAGTCTCAGGCGGGAGCCCTCTCCTTATGGGGCCCGCATTTCATATGGGTAGTCCGAGCGGGTCGTCCTCGAACCTGTAACTGCCGTCACTGAAGCGTGGATATGGGGGAAGTGCCAGGCGGGAGCCATGTCTGTGAGCGAACTGTGAGGAAGTCGCAGGCGGGAGCCCCCCCCCCTATAGGGCCCGCGCTTCATTTTGGTACTCCCAGCGGGTCATCCTCGAACTTGTAATTGTCGTCACTTTTGGGCTCCTGGGGCCTGAATAAGGGGGGAGCATACGGCGGGAGCCTCGTCTGTGAGTGAACTGTGAGGGGGTTTCGGGCGGGAGTTCCCTAAGGATCGTGCGCTTCATCTTGATAGTCCGAGCGGGTCATCATCGAACCTGTAGCTGTCGTCGCTTTGGGCTACTGAAGCCTGGATATGGGGGGGCATCAGGCGGAAGCCTCGTCTGTGAATGAACTTGAAGAAGGCTCAGGCGGGAGCCCCCATCCCTATGGGGCAAGCGCCTCTCGTGTTTCCTCCGGGTCGTCATCCGGCGCGCGCTTCCTTCGGGTCTTCCTCCGGCGCGTATCCGTCAGGTCGCACGTCATGCGCTTCCTCAGGGTCGTGTTCCGCACGAGGAGGAAGAGGAGGAGTAGGGAGGAGAAAGGAGGATGCAGGACGAGAAAGAAAAGAATAAGGAAGAGGAGGAGGAAACAGAGGGCGAGAAGGACGAGGAAGACATGGAGGAATAGGAGTGCCCTAGCAGGCCCCAGGATGTCCCGGGAGGCCCAGAAGGCTCCAGGAGTCCCCAAGAGGCCCCAAGAGTCCCCAGGAGGAGGCGGGAAACCTAAGAGGAGGCAGGAGGAGGGGGAGGCGGAGGACGGGAGGGGGGAAGATGGAGACGAGGAGGAGGAGGCGGAGGAGGGAGAGGGAGAAGAGGAACATGGAGAGAGGAGGCGGAGGAGAAGGAGGAAACGGAGGAGGAGGAGGAGGAGGAGCAGGGAGAGGGAAAGCAGGAGGAGGACGCAGGAGGCAGGAGGAGCATGGCGAATGGGGGGAGGAGGCATTACGAGGAGGAGGAAAAGAAGGAGGAGGTGGTGGTGGTGGTGGAGGCAAGAGGAGGAGGCAGGGGTTGATGCAGGAGGAGGAGGAGGCAGGAGGAAAAGGAGGAGGCAGGAGTAGGTGGGAGAAGCGAGGGGGCAGGAGGAGATCCCCAGGCAAGCGAAACAAATTATCATGCGGGATCCTACCGTCGGAGTAATTGCATATTCCTCCTGGGGAGGGACAAGCCCGACTTAACTCTAGGGCGCAACTCAGCGAAACAATTGTACAGTTTGCGAGAAAGCCTGGCGCGGTCTGGCGCAGCCCTTCTGGGGCGGAAAGCGGCACTGGTGGGGCTGGTGTTCGGTCGGGAGTGTCCTCCTACAGGCGGATTTAGAAGGAACGTTTCCAAACTGTCCAATGATATTCAAACATTATCAAACATACGAAAAAAACGTCCCTTGAGTATTTCTTAGCAGTGTTTGAATCATCCTCCTGAGGAGGGACACGCCCGACTTAAGGCTGGTGGAGCAGGAAGGGCACGACCCACGAACAAACGCCAGGTTTGCGAAGGCCTCCTGCGGGACAGACTGCGCCGGTGGGGGTGGTGGCCTGCCGCGGTCCAGCGGGGCGACGGGAGCAGACAGCGCTGGTAGGACCGGCGGAAAGAAAGTGCATGCATGCAGGAAGGCTCGGGGCTCGTGCAGTGCGCTTGGAATGAAGGAAGGAGGAAGGAATAGACGATGGTCTTAGACGACAAAATCCTGACTCAAGATGTGGGGACGTAGATCAGTGCGAGGTGGGCGCAAGAAGTCGTTTGGTGACGGGATCGAATCCCAACTCACGTACCTCGTCGGCCACGACTCCAAGGTGATACGTGCAGCCCTCCTCGTGCGACCTCTGTCGGCACGATCGCCGCGATCTTTGCGAAGGCCGCGTCGGCCTCCGCCATGGCCGCGACGACGCTGC